CTCCCTTCCTTTCTTTCCAAATTACTACCACTAACCCCACTCTGTCTCCACCCCTTTTCTCTCTTTCCCCCCTATCTACCTCTGTCTCTCTCTCTCTACCTCCTCTTCTCCATTCCTCCCTTCCACTCGCCCTTCCTTCCTATCTAGGGCCCGTCGTCTACCGCCACGACGGGCTTTCCTTACTAGTTTATATATAAATTATTAGAAGTGGTTGAATTGGAAAACAAATTGCTATGTTATAATTCAAAAAGAATAAGCCTACTCTTTTTTGACAGTGTACAATGTGGAACTTATAGAGAGACGGGGGGGGAATCACAAACTGTTAAGTTTCTAAACTAGACTATGATGTAAATAGAATTTGGTGGGTAATGGAAGAAGATACTCTGTACAATGATATGTTTTAAGAAAAGCTTGTAAGTTATTCTTTCTCTTTCTTTTCTTTTTTGAAAAAATAGATTATTCAAAAAAGAAAGAAAGAAAAAGGAAGCCACGGGCCTCCGTCGGCAAGATCTGAGCAAGGCTGGGGACGTGAGGATGGTTTGGAGGTCATGAATTCATCGGGTCGCCATAGATTAGAAGCAATTTTATGGCACTTAACCCACACATACACAATATAGGACTTCAGGGTACCATGTGTCGTCCACCCACCCCAGACAGAGGCAGAAAAGCAGGGGGCAATGGGGGGGGGGGGCTTTCCAGTCCACTCAGATTTCTCTTAGGGGAGGGTCCCCCCCCTTTCAAGAACGCTCACCTGAGCTGCCTCTCTGGAGACAGGCAAGAATTTTATCCAGTAGGTGAGGCAGGTCAGGGATGCCAAAGGAGTGAGGGTTCAGTCTTGTTTTTAAAAAGCCAGGCTCCTCAACAGTGGAATGTTGATTTATAGAAAAAGAAATGCATGTGTTAGAAGGAAAAATTAAGAACATAAAGCCCTGCTGGGTCAGCCCAATGGTCCATCTAGTCCAGCATCCCGTCTCACACAGGGGACAACCAGTTCCTACGGAGGGTCAACAGCAGGGCAGGGAGGCCGAGGCCTTCCCCTGAGAAGACCCTCAGAAGAGCCCTGCTGGGTCAGACCAGTGATGGTCCATCTCTCCACCCCTTTTCTCTCTTTCCCCCCTATCTACCTCTGTCTCTCTCTCTCTACCTCCTCTTCTCCATTCCTCCCTTCCACTCGCCCTTCCTTCCTATCTAGGGCCCGTCGTCTACCGCCACGACGGGCTTTCCTTACTAGTTTATATATAAATTATTAGAAGTGGTTGAATTGGAAAACAAATTGCTATGTTATAATTCAAAAAGAATAAGCCTACTCTTTTTTGACAGTGTACAATGTGGAACTTATAGAGAGACGGGGGGGGAATCACAAACTGTTAAGTTTCTAAACTAGACTATGATGTAAATAGAATTTGGTGGGTAATGGAAGAAGATACTCTGTACAATGATATGTTTTAAGAAAAGCTTGTAAGTTATTCTTTCTCTTTCTTTTCTTTTTTGAAAAAATAGATTATTCAAAAAAGAAAGAAAGAAAAAGGAAGCCACGGGCCTCCGTTGGCAAGGCTGGGGACGTGAGGATGGTTTGGAGGTCATGAATTCATCGGGTCGCCATAGATTAGAAGCAGTTTTATGGCACTTAACCCACACATACACAATATATGACTTCAGGGTACCATGTGTCGTCCACCCACCCCAGACAGAGGCAGAAAAGCAGGGGGCAGTGGGGGGGGTGCTTTCCAGTCCATTCAGATTTCTCTTGGGGGAGGGTTCCCCCCCCATCGAGAACGCCCACCTGAGCTGCCTCTATGGAGACAGGCAAAAATTTTATCCGGTACGTGAGGCTGGTCAGGGACGCCAAAGGAGTGAGGGTTCAGTCTTGTTTTTAAAAAGCCTGGCTCCTCAACAGTGGAATGTTAATTTGTAGAAAAAGAAATGCATGTGTTAGAAGGAAACATTAAGAACATAAAGCCCTGCTGGGTCAGGCCAGTGAGGGTCCATCTAGTCCAGCATCCCGTCTCACGCAGTGGCCAGCCCGGTCCTCTGGATGACCGTGGGCAACACATAGCCTTGCAAAAGAGCAGTTTCTGTCAGAGCTCTCACAGGGTGCCCGTTGTGGGGAGGGGAAGGGAAAGGAGATCGTAAGCCACTCTGAGACTCCTCCGGGGAGTGAAGGGCGGGGTGTAAATCCCATCTCTTCTTCTTCGCCTGCTTTTTGCTCCTCCGCCAGACCTGCTGACGGAGGAGCCGCGCCCCGGCCCGAAGCCCATCAAGCGGACGGATGAGGGCCGGCTGCTGACCCAGGCCGTCCGCCTCAACAACAACACCATCAACGACCTGACCGAGTTCACGGAGATCATGAAGAAGCTGCTGGAGCACCCAGAGGACATCTACTGGTTCGACCTCTCCTTCAACGACCTGCCCACCATTGACCCGGTAAACCTCCCCTCTCCCCCGCAGGCCAACTTCTGGCAGCAGCACCGGGCACACAGAGTGGGCAAAAGCAGGGAGGGGAAGGGAGATTGCGAACGAAGTGGGGGAGAGGAACGGGGAAACTCTGCGGCGCTCTTGGGAAGCGGCAATAAGGCAACAACCGTGTACAGAACGATTCACCAAAAACCTTCCAAAAAGGTAGCATTTGTACAACAGGAAGACCACCTTTCCCCACATGTCCCTCCCCGGACCGAAAGATGCCAGACCGGCTTCCGCCAGGGCCTTCTCAGTGGCGGCTCCACGCTGGTGGAATGAGCTCCCGGAGGACATCGGGGCCCTGCGGGACCTTTTACAGTTCTGCAGGGCCTGCAAGACGGAGCTCTTCCGCCAAGCCATCGACTTGGAGCCGCCACTAATAACAGCAATTACATCAACAACATCGACCAATACTAACCGAACTGGATAGTACTAACTAACTACGCCTGACGCCGATGGGGGCCAAACTGAGAGCCAGTTTGGTTTAGTGGTTAAGTGCGCGGACTCTAATCTGGGAGAACCGGGCTTGATCCCCCACTCCTCCACTTGCACCTGGCTGGATTCCCCACTCCTCCACTTGCACCTGGCTGGATGACCTTGGGCAAGCCGTAGCTCTGATAAGAGCTGTTCTTGAAAAAGAGCCGTTTCTGCCAGAGCTCTCTCAGCCCCACCTACCTCACAGGGTGTCTGTTGTGGGGAGGGGAAGGGAAAGGAGTTTGTGAGCCACACTGAGATTCCTTTGGGTAGTGAAGGGTGGGGGGTATAAATCCAATCTCTTCTTCTTTTTGGGAACATCTGTCATGGCCACCAGGTTGTTATTGTCACCAGCATTTTAATTCTATTTTATTGCGAGCTATGACTTGCTATGTTTGTGTTTTAATGTTTTTAAATCCTTATTGTAAGCCGCCCTGAGCCTCCCTGTGGCAGGCAGGGCAGGATAAAAATTGAATAAATAAATAAACTTGTATAGTCTCAAAATATCTGGTCCGCCATAACAATACAAATATCCACACAGAATAAGGCTGAATGAGTATGCAGCTGTGACATTGGTCTTCAGCGTTCACCCAGGACATGCTTAAGGAACAGGAGAAAAACAATTCCATTCAAAGGTACCCGTCGTTCCCTCCACGCGACGGCGAGCTGCGGTTTATCGCGTTCCGCCCACAAGCTTCTGCAGAAAGTGGGACCTTACGATCACTCGCTTCCAAATCGAGGCTGAAACAATACTCAGAAATCAGCACACAGCTCACAAATTCAAATCAGTTCAGAGGCTTGAAGATTTAGATTTGTATTGTTTTGATGGGCCAGGTATTTTGAGGCTATAAAATATTCCTGTGGTAGAAATGCTACCTTTTTTTGGAAGGTTTCTGGTGAATTCTTTTGTACACAGTTTTTTTCTTACTGCCATTTCTCACTGTGTATCTCCGGTTTGTCGCTCTTGGAGAGTGAGCGTGCGCAAAGCGGAAGAGGAAGTTCCGCTTCTATTTACGTCCTGCTTTTATCTTTCCTCCAAGGAGCTCAGGACAGTTCTTACAAGAGGTCGCCAACAGGTTGCCCCAGGGCACCCCGCCGACACCAAATGTTTCTGAAAGCGGGTGGGACTTTTGCCCAGCAGGCCTTCGGATCGGCCATTGATAACTTGATCAGCTCTGCAGATTTTTAAAAACGTGGACTTGGCGGCAGCCTCCACCGCAGCACACGGATCTTAGCTGTGAGACTGAAGATAAGCTGCGGCAGCCGTTTTGTGGCTGTGCCCACCACGCTATGTCAAAATCCCAAGTGTGCCTACAGGCTCAAAAGGGGTTGGGAGCCCCATTCATCCTCACAACCCCCTCGCGAGGCGGGTGATGCTGAAAAAGACCAAACAGCTCAAGATGACCCAGCAAGCTTCATGGGCAGGGGTCATTTCCTGCCGGAATGCGCCGGAACGGCGCTCCAGCAGTAAGGAGCCCAGGGGTGGTGCCCCCCACCATGGGGAAGGGAAAGAAAGGCATTCTAAACATGCCTGGGTTCCCTGCCCAATCTTCTCTAGGTGCACTGCAGTCCAGCCAGCATATGCAAATGAATTGTGCAAATGAGCTCCTGCACCTCTTTTTGTATGAAATGACACCTGTTCATGGGAGAAGGGGGACTGGAACCTGGGTTTCCCTTGGGGCAATCCCAAAGCTCTGACCCTTGTACTGTGCCCTACTCACCATAAGAACATAAGAGAAGCCAGTGTTGGATCAGGCCAATGGCCCATCCAGTCCAACACTCTGTATCACACAGTGGCCAAAAATACCAGGTGCCCTCAGGAGGCCCAGCAGTGGGGCCAGGACACCAGAAGCCCTCCCACTGTGCCCCCCCAAGCACCAAGAAGACAGAGCGTCACTTGCCCCAGACCAAGAGTTCCTATCTATACCTTGTGGCTAAAAGCCACCGATGGACCTCTGCTCCATATAAGAACATAACAGGAGCCAATGCTGGATCAGGCCAAAGGCCCATCTAGTCCAACACTCTGTCACACAGTGGCCAAAAATACCCGGGGCCATCAGGAGGTCCAGCAGTGGGGCCAGGACACTAGAAGCCCTCCCACTGTCGTCCCCACCCCCAAGCACCAAGAAGACAGAGCGTCACTTGCCCCAGACCAAGAGTTCCTATCCATACTTTGTGGCTCATAGCCACTGATGGACCTCTGCTCCAGATGTTTACCCAATTCCCTCTTGAAGCCGTCCATGCTTGTAGCCGCCACCACCTCCCGTGGCAGTGAATCCTGTGTGTTAATCACTCTTTGGGTGAAGAAGGACTTCCTTTTATCCGTTCTAACCCAACTGCGCAGCAATTTCACGGACTGCCCACGAGACGAGTTCTC